AGATCCCGGAGAAGGCGCGGCCGGAGCCTAAGAGGAGGTATGGAGACAGGATCAACTCCCTTCGTCGCCGCCGTCTGATACGTGAGGCCACGCCCACCTCCTCCTCCCTCAGGCTACCTGTCGACGAACCCTTCCCCGCCAAGGTGATTAATTATCTCCCTGTATCACCTGTTTGGGTCTGTCTGTCTTATTCTTATTTATTCTCATTATGTCTCATGTGTATGTTAACTCTCTCTCTCTCTCTCTCTTTCTTTCCGACATCCTTTTAATCTTATCTTTGTGCTCTTCCTTCATTCTATGCTTTCTTTACTCCTCTCTCTCTCTCTCCCCTTCATCTCTCTCTCTCTTTCTACCTCTTTCTCTCTCCCCCTACATCTACCTCTCTCTCTTCCCTACCTCTCTCTCTCTCTCTCTCTCTATCTCTCACCATCACCCTACGACTAACTCTCCCCCACACTCCCACAGTTCGATGAGGCCTTCGTAGCTCGGGTGGAGAGGTCAGTGAGAATGCGTCGTGCCCTGGACGGCTCCTCAGCGCATCACCACCACCACCACCATGACAAGTCCTGTACTATCCTAGGGGTCAAGTATAACCTAGGCGAGGTCATAGGTGAGTATCCTGTAGAGTCCTGTAAAGAGTCCTATAAGAGTCCTGTAGGAGTTCTGTAAGAGTCCTGTAGAGAATCCTTTGAGTAGTCTGGTGGAGGTCATATGTCTTGTCTGTCTTTAAGAAAAATATATGTCATGTCTCTCATATACAGTATGATGTCTCTCTAAGTCTATTGTCTCTCTCAGTTCATATGTATAAGTCTCTTTCTCTGTTGAATATATGTCATAAGTCTCTCGGTCTTATACAAGTCTTCATCAGTCATTATACTCGACAGGTGTGGCATCAGATGTGTGTATGGAGTGCAGGTGTGCGGCGGGGAAGATGTTCTGTTCCCCGAGGTGCTGCTTCCTGCCCTCACCCTTCCAGCTCTCCCTTAACCACCAGGAGGCCCTCACCAGCAGGCAGCCAGGACCAGCTCGACCACACCCTCTCTCCTACGTCCGCAACCAATACGAGGAAGATCAGGTGCTTTCTTGGTTGTGATTGGTCTAATATCATCATCGACAGCCAATCAGAGAAAGTCAAGGTCCTATCTTAGTTGTGATTCGTCTATCGTCAGCCAATACCATACAGCCAATCAACGAAAGACCAGTCCCTATCTTAGTTGTGATTGGTCGACAAGTAACTAGTATATCCGTCAACAACCAATCAGAATGGCTTTAAACAAGAGGAACAGTTCCTCTGATAAACTGGTTTGTCTACCAGTCAGTACAAGTTAACAGTACCAGTTAAGAGGAACAGTTCCTCTGATGGTTGACTCGTCCACAACCAGTCAGTACCAGTCAGAGAGTACCAGGAGGTACTACTAGGGGGGGGCAGTGTTGTAGGACGACTCACACCAATCACTGAACACACACACACACACACACACACACACACACACACACACACACACACACACACACACACACGCACACATGCCATATACACACAGTATGTACACCACACTGATGTACGTATATGGTGTCATGATAATTCGTACACATGTGCCATTCTTATTCGTACACATGACTTTAGCATTTAGTGAAGAGCTTATATGAGCATTGTAAACATTGTATTGTCTGAGTAGTGAGGAATGTTTATTATATATATGTGAAGTAAACACCGTGTTGATGTTTAAGTTCTTGTATATGTATATTTTAGTCTATATATGTAAACATTTATTCATATATCTGTCTATTTCAATCTGTCTATATAAACAACCATCTGTCTATTTCACTCTATACATCTTAAATGTTTATCTGTCTATTTCAATGTGTTTTATTAAGTGAGAAAAATAATTATATGAAGGATCTGTCTCCTTGTTTCCTTGTCTCTCTGTCTATCTCACCTCACACTGTCTCTTTATCTCTTATCCTCGCACTGTTATGAGACAGGTGAAGACAGGAACAGGTGAATGTGTCTCCCTCGTGACAGGTGAAGACAGAAAACACCATCTGAGTTTGTCTTCATCATCAGCTGGACCTAACCTGACCTGACCTGACCTGACCCGACCTGACCGAACCTGGACCTGACCTGACCTGACCTAACCTAACCTGGACCTAACCTGACCTGACCTGACCTGACCTAACCTGACCTGACCTAACCTAACCTGACCCGACCTAACCTGGACCTAACCTAACCTGACCTGACCCGACCTAACCAAAATGCTTTGTGTTAAATGTATTGTTAGTTTGAGAGACGATTGTTAAGTATATAAATGTCTGTCTCTATGTATTGACAGGGAGAGACGGTGGAGAGAGATAGTGAGTTATCTTTATGTCTGTCTCTGTGTCTGTCTGTCTGTCTCTATTTTAGTCTTCTGTTTCCCTTACTCCTTCTTCTTCGTCCCCTTCTCTAATTCTCTTCTTATCTTCTATGTCTTTAACATTATCTAATTCTCCTTCTTCCTTCTCTCTCTCTCTCTCTTACCTCAACTTTTTCTCCTCCTCTAATGTCCCTTCTTTACTCTGCCGTCTCTCTTCCCATCATTATTTTTTCCCTTAATCCTCCCCCTCTCTCTCTCTCTCTCTCTCTCTCTCTCTCTCTCTCTCTCTCTCTCTCTCTCTCTCTTCTCTCTCTCTCTCTCTCAGATTCTCATCATACCTGCATATAATAATAATAATAATAATAATAATAATAATAATAATAATAATAATAATAATAATAATAATAATAATAATAATAACAATAAACATTATTCAACATTGCCTTAACATTATCCCGTATAAGAGTGTATTATGCTTTATATGTTTTTATTATGTACAAAGACTTTAATTCATTACAAACTTGAAAAAATACCAAAGAAATTCAATGTGTCGTTTTATTTACCCATTGCAACACACACACACACACACACACACACACACACACACACACACACACACACACACACACACACACACACACACACACACACACACACACACACACACACACACACACACACACACGTCTCCACAATATTGTGAACATTACGTTGACATCTTGACACCATAACGCGGTAATGAGGCAGTCAGTCGCTGACTCTGGCATAAGAGTGTCATGCCTGTGTCAGCATAAAAGAGAGAGAGAGAGAGAGAGAGAGGTCGTCAACACCAGCATAATTAAAGTCTCAGATTATATTTTCACTCAATAATTTATGTTACGGTTTATTTCTTCACCTCCTGGCAGCTCTCGTGGTCAGTGACGTCATTCTTCCTTTATTTACACTCAAAGAAAAATTTAAATGCCCGTAAAAATATGTCTGTACACACACACACACACACACACACACACACACCTAACCTAACGCTACTGATGGGGTTAGGTTAGGTTAGGTTAGGTTCAGGGAGGATATCGTCAAGGGGAATAAGCTTGTGTGTCTAATATACAGGTAAGGACAGCATCTGTCCAACAGTCTTACCCCCTAACACCTTGTGGGCAGAGCCAACTTGATCACCACACACACCCCCTAATACCCCTTGTGGGCAGAGCCAACAGTCACCCACCCTAGCACCCCCTTGAGGGCAACAGTCACCCACACCCTGTACCTGGGAGAGCCAGCAGTCACCCACTAACACCCCTTGTGGGCGAGCCAACAGTCACCTACCCCCTAACACCCCTTTGGGAGGGCAACAGTCACCCAACAGTCACCCACACACCCCTAACCCACCCCTTGAGGCAGAGCCAACAGTCACCCCACACCCCCTACTTGCCTTGAGCATGAGCCAACAGTCACCCACACCCCTAACACCCCTTGAGGGCGAGCCAACAGTCACCCACACCCCTAATACCCCTTTGTGGGACCTTGTGGGCAGCCAGTCACCCCACACCCCCAAACACCCCCTAACACCCCCTAACACCCACCCCTTGTGGGCGAGCCAACAGTCACCTACACTCTAACACCCGCAGCCGGGCGAGCCAACAGTCCCACCCACAAACTACCCCTTGTGGGCAGAGCCAATCACCCACACCTGCACCCCGCTTTGCAATGGGCAGAGCCAACAGCCTTGAGGGGCGCCAACAGTCACCCACACCTAACACCCCTTGTGGGCAGGCCCAGTCACCCACACCCCCTTGTCAAGACAGGGAGGGCGAGCCAACAGTCACCCACACACCCCTAACACCCCTTGTGGGCTGAGCCAACAGTCACCCACACCCGCAAGCTTACCGGGCGATGCTACCCCCCTAACACCCCTTGTGGGCGTCAACAGTCACCCACACCCCCAAACACCCCTTGTGGGCAGGAGCCAACAGTCACCCACCCCCCAAACACCCCTTGTGGGAGAGCCAACAGTCACCCACAACCCCTTGGCCAGGGCAGTCAACAATCACCACACCCTCTAACACCTTGTGGGCAGGCCAACAGCTTGGGCGGCCAACAGTCACCCCTTGCGGGCAGGCCAACAGTCACCCACACCCCCTAACACCCTTGTGGCCGGTGAGTAGATCACCCAACAGCAGGCCAGCAGTCACCCCACCCCTAACACCCCTTGTGGGTGAGCCAACAGTCCACCTTGCGGGCGAGCCAACAGCTTGTGGGCGAGCCAACCAGGAGGGCCACCCACAATCTCCAAATCAATTTTCCATCTGTTATTTACATGATCGCATTCTTCAACCTTTCTAAAGGGCACGAGAACCGGATCAATATGGCTCGATAACGGATCCTTCAAGGTAAAAGAACCGGATCAATCTATTTTTTAATAAGAGGGAACCGAGTCCTACGAAACATGGGAACAGGTTCAATCCGGTTCTGAGGCGAGACAGTAACCGGTTCACTCCGTTTCGCCAGCTTCCCTTTAACGCTGGAAAATCCGTTTAGTTAAACTCAAAATAAAAGTCATTGAAATATTTAGTAATAAATAAATCTTCACATATTTTATTATGAATCTACATGTAAATAAGAACATTATTGCCTAAACAAATACCTGTAAATGAATAAATAAAAAAAAATATGACCAAGAAACACCAGAAAAAAAATGATTAAATTTTTATTAAAATAAATTCTTTAAAAATCAATAAAACAAAATACAAATTAATTATAAAACCAAATTCAAAGAAAATTTTTATATTGAAAATGTAATAAAATAAATAATTAAACCGAATAAATAAACTAAACTAAAAGATCATAAATAAAATAAACAAATAAATATGTAATTGAAATAAAACAAAGTAAAACACAATACAATAAACAAGAGAAAAACATTGAAATAAAGTAGGAATGGAAGAGAGAGAGAGAGAGAGAGAGAGAGAGAGAAAATATGGATTAGGGTGAAAACATGAGAGGGAAGGAGAGTGGAGTTAGAGAGGAAGAGAAAGAGGGGAGGAAGTGAGACATAGGGGGGGGGTGGGGGAAGAGAGGAAAGGAGAGTTAATGAGTAATAGGGGAGGGTAAGAGTAGGGAGGGGAGGTGAGGAAAGAGAAGGGAGGGAGAGTAAGGGGAAAGTGAATGAGGGGGAGGAGAGTGAGGGGAGGGAGAGGGAGTGAGAGGGTTGGTCCAGCAGCCAGCTACGACACACACATCACTGCTCACTCGTGTGCCAGAGTCCGTGCTGTTAGGTCCACCGTGCCCAGGGCTCCGACACTCACTCACCCGCCGTGCCCAGGGTTCCGACACTCACTCACCCGCCGTGCCCAGGGTTCCGACACTCACTCACCCGCCGTGCCCAGGGCTCCGGACTCTCACTCACCTGCCGTGCCCAGGGTCTCAACACTCACTCACCTGCCGTGCCCAGGGTTCCACACTCCACCACCTGCCGTGCCCAGGATCTGACACTCACTCACCTGCCGTGCCCAGGATCTGACACTCACTCACCTGCCGTGCCCAGGGTTCCGACACTCACTCACCCGCCGTGCTCCAGGGTTCCGACTCTCACCACCTGCCGTGCCCAGGGTTCCGACACTCACTCACCTGCTGTGCCCAGGGTCTCCGACACTCACCACCCGCCGTGCCCAGGGTTCCGACACTCACTCACCCGCCGTGCCCAGGATTCCGACCAGTCACCCGCCGTGCCCAGGGTTCCAACACTCAGTCACCCGCCGTGCCCAGGGTCTCCGACACCCCACTCACCCGCCGTGCCCAGGGTTCCAACACTCACTCACCCGCCGTGCCCAGGGTTCCAACACTCACTCACCCGCCGTGCCCAGGGTTCCAACACTCACTCACCCGCCGTGCCCAGGGTTCCGACACTCACTCACCCGCCGTGCCCAGGGTTCCGACACTCACTCACCCGCCGTGCCCAGAGTTCCGACAGAAACAATGGAAACTGTTTACAATATACGACTCAACATTTACAGTCTCCGTTAAGTGTGTAGTGACCATTACTGTAGTGGATAAAGTGTGTTAACTCAAGATACATCCGTATATAAGTACCAACTCACATACAATGAACCAATTAAGTGCTTCAGCCTCCTGTAAGTAATTTCAGACACACGTAAACGAGAAAAAAATAAAATAATCTTTAAAACGACAAAATCTAAGTCATAAATGATCGATTTTCATTTGAGAAAGAAAATCTGTTTTTTCTCTTAATATAAATAAACTTCAAGTGAAAAAACTAAACCATAGAAATTATTGTAGACAAGATTAAAATTTTTGAGTTTATATAAAAAAATATCCCCCAAAATAATAATAATAACAATAAGTAAATAAAATAACTTACAAAATCAACAAAAATACTCCCCCAAACAAGTTGAAAACAAAAGATAATCAAGAAAAAAAAAACGAACAAAAACAAGCCATCACGTGTTACCTTATAGCAAAGTCGAAAACAAAAGAGCATCAGGATGTCGGATATAAACAAAGCGGAGAACGGGGCGACCAACACAGAGGCGGAGGTGACGAAGGAGGAAGTACCCAAGAAGAACGGCTCGAAGCACAAGAAGGACTGGCTGGCTGTGGGTGGTATTGGTATTGAGAAGCGAAGACGATCATCCAATGCTTCATACAGGATTGAGAATAACAAGGTATGAGTAATTGTGTACCAGTTAGTATATCTATGTCTGTCTGTATCTCTCTATGTCTGTCTGTCTGTCTGTATATCTATGTCTGTCTGTATCTCTCTGTCTGTCTGTCTGTCTGTATCTCTCTATGTCTGTCTGTCTGTCTGTATCTCTCTATGTCTGTCTGTCTGTCTGTATATCTATGTCTGTCTGTCTACCTTTGCCTTTCTCTTGACTACGCATTTCACACACACACACACACACACACACACACACACACACACCTTGTCTATGTACTTTCTTCCTCCTTGTGTATGTTGCCGAAAGTAAACACCTGTAGAGGAGCTAATTAACTACACACCTGAGATACTTGTAATTATCTACCTGACGGAGTATTTACCTGTGTACAAGTGCTTACACGCCCGAGGCACTTGTAGTTACGAGTACTGACACACTCGAAACACTTGTATTATATATTGCCTTAAGTC